TTATACAATTGGATAACCAGCAATTTCACTAGCTTATTCATAGCACTGTTCTCCCACTGTTCATCAATTTGCTCGAGCGGGCACAAGTAACGTCTCCATTGTGAGACTTGTTGTTACTGTTTTTCGCATATTGAATAGGCCATGGTAGCTTGCCAGGCTCGGCCTTGCAGGTGGGATACTCTTGGTAGCTTGGAGCTAGGGTGTTTGCCTTGCATGCAATCGACACAGGTTTGATTAGCTCATTCATACAACATATTTCTAATATTCGGTGTCATTCAAAATAAGGTGTGGAAAAGGAAAAATTCTCTTTGAAAAACTAGACATAGCACAGCGGTAGGGTGTTTGCCTTGCACGCAGCTGACCTGGTTGGCCCAGGTTCAATTCCTCCGCCCCACTCAGAGAGCCGGACAAGCTACCGAGAGTATCTTGCTTGCATGGCAAAGCCTGGCAAGCTCCCCATGAAGTATTTGATATGCCAAACACAGTAACAACAAGTCTCACAATGGAGATATTACTGGGCACACTCAAGCAAATCGATGAACAATGGGAGGACAGTGTTTTGTTTTGTAAGAATTAAAATGTCACCATTTCTTTCTACTAAGAAGGAAAGTGGAGAGATCAGAGAGACAGTACAAAGGTTATGGTGCTTGTTTTGCATGAGGCCAACCTTGGTTCAATCCTCAGCACCATATATGGTTCCCCACAACCAGGAGTCATCCCTTAGCAAAGAGATAGGAGTAAGCCTGAGTACAGAAATATGTCCCAAAATTTAAAACAAAAAACCCTGGAGGAACAGTGGTTAAACTCCCTCACTCAAATCTTCACCCCTTTTTACCTTCGCAGAGAAATAAAACTAAGGCTGGAGGGAGCAGTAAGTTGGCTTGAACAACTGTCATTTCCCCATATATTTTATTATTTATGAGATGGTTATATCCTGCAGCCTACATAGAACATCCTGTCTTAGGAGAATAAGTAGTTCTGACATTTTTCTGGGCAAATCATTCTTTTCACAACAAACACTGTTTTTAGACAAGAAGCATATCACAGAGACATTTTTCTTCTCATAACTTCTAACTCATTTAGAATTTTTGGTGTAACTTATCAAATGCATTGAAAATCATCATTGACCAAGATTGTTGCAAGGAACTCGTGATTTCCTGAAAACCATGGTAAGGATACCTGTGGAGCTTTGCCATCGGAGTCAAGCCAACATTCATGTAAAGGATGCATAATTTCAAACCGAGTCAAGAAACACATCTATTAGAGTATAAGCTTCTCCCAGTCTTTAGTGTCAGCAAAGATATCCTTCTGTGAGTGACATACCAGGGAGTGGAAAGTTCAGGTGTAAAGCTTGGAGCAACATTTGTCAGATTCCTTTTAGAAGAATCCAGTTAGATCCTCTATGAAAGGCATTTTAGTAAAAATCTGGAGTTTTCTTCCAGGACTTTAAATCTCAAGTGACAGCATGATGGAGGGACAGGGTAGAATGGTAGCCATGTGTAGAGCAGACTGGGCTATGAGTTCACGGCATGGCTGTCTCCTCTTCTCTTAGAACCATCATGCTCTTGATCACCCCCAATCTGGCTCAACAAGCCAGATATTAGTGTTCTGGTTATTCTTACCAAAGAGTTCTTTTGTTTAAGGTAAATAGAATCAGTTTCTTCGATTTGCACACATCAAGTTGTTTGAAACTGGTCACATGCCACATTTTCTCCACTGCATTTATATAGGAATGTGCATGTCTCTCCTATCAGACTAAAAGCCTCAGCTTTGTAAAGACTGGAATGTCTTAAATCTATTTCTACCTCCAGAATATAGAATAGTGACTGAATGACAAATATGGAACACTCGGTAAATGTCAAATAAGTAGTGTTTTTCATGTGTTAAAAAAATTCAGAAATTTTCCCATAATAAATATAAATGTTCAAGTAGATGCCAAAACACTGAAAGCTCAAAGAGGTCAAAAAATTCCATATCTTACATCAATTTTACCTGCATGTTGAAATATCCATGTTCTGTAGTCATCCTCTCCAATACTTTTTTTGAAAATCAGTGACATTTGTGGTATTCTAATAAGAATATTCTCACACCTCTGAGATTATCCTTATTCAAAATGTTCACCACACACATCCAAGTGGAAAGAATAAAGCTACTAAAGTGGGCAGTTTCAAAATACCACTCTCCAAAGCCTACTTCACTCAGCTCTCCCTGTCCTCTCCAACTCGCAGGGCAATCCAGAAAGTCCAACAGGCAGCTAGTGAAACTAGTTTCCAGAAAAATCACCATCTGTTTTTCCACCCTTAATAAATAAAGTACCTCTGCTCTATAAATTCACATTACTTGCGGGACAAAGACCTAGAATGAAAATGGAGATGGAATTTGTGTCCAATTTTAATGACTTTTAAAAGTTTGGGAGGAGTAGTTGGTTTATGCTATTATAATCTATGAGCTGTATAACCATCTGAATTTGATCTGGTTCAAATAATGCTACCATGTCCTGGGCATTATACACTTTCCAAATGTTCAATGTCATCGAGGTTTTATGACATTTCCTACAAAAACTCAATAGTCTGGTAGCACTTCATCAGCTGAAGTTTGAATTCAGGTATGGGAAAAGAATGCTATGTCTGCAGCATGAAACTATACCACTCTAACTTCAGTATCACAGCCATAAGGGATATTCCATTAAAAACCTTCAAACCTTTTTTTCCCTAGCAAAAACTGTTCTGTATCTTGGAATTATGGAATAGAGCCAAAAATACATCAGGAGATTCAAAATTCCATTTTCATTGACTTCTGTCTTCCTATAAAAGCTCGATAGGAGATATTCTGCCACCTGCGCATCTCATTTATTCAACCTCATTTCCTTCCTCAAGTCACAAAATGTTTGGAGCATTGTGTCCCTGCCTCATACCTAGACATGTGACATGCATGAATGGTTTAAGGAATACACAAGCTTTCTGAGACCTTGGACTCTAAAGGGAAAGCTGAAAGATACGAGGTGCAAGCCTAGCTTTGCCAGGTTAAACATGGCTATGAAAGGAGCATGCCCAGTTCTACTGGCATCAAAACACAGTGTGGATTGCCAAAGAGTCTACGAGAAAGAAATATTAAGTAATTCTGCACCTCTGACATTGACATGAGTTTATTATTCTTTCAAGCCAACAGACCCTAATCCAAAACTTATGTCCAATCTAGGCCTTCCCTAAAAGAGCCAATTATATTGAATGTGACCAAAACTCCAAGGAGTCTTCAGACCCAAAGACAATGTTTCCTTGGCCTATTAACCTCTGTATTATTTCCACATTTTGATTTTATTTATGAATTATGTCTCCCTTTTTTCCAGAATTATTTCTTTCCTACAATGATGGCATAAAAGAATTCCTGTATTTCCACCACAGAGAGTACTTATTTGCTCCCCAAACCTATTGATAATCGTACTGGAAAAATTTTTAAAAACTCAAACTTAGCACACTCTTCAAACAAATGTGAAATATTTTCAAATATTTCTAAATCTATTTACATAATTTTAACAAGAGGTATTGAGATTAAGTTGCCTGAGGAAGTAACCAGGTTTATTGTAGAACGTTCAAACTGATTGCCAGACCTTTTCCACACTCTGGGGGAAAGATGGAAATTTTGAAAATTGTACCCATCAGCACAAGCAGTTAGTTATCATTTTTATATTGAAAGTACCATCTTAAAACTTTTACTAAGAAAATTATTGCCCTTTATTCCTCAAGAATGAGAACTCTGAGTCTCAATTCCTTGTAAAATAAGCAAATACAATATTCCTCCACAAATCCCTATTCCACCTGGTATCATTAGCATATAACTTGAGTTTCAAAGAAAAAAGGAAAGCTTATTCTCTTAATTTGAAACAATCATTTATTCTATCTTCTTTTCAAAGATGAAAGACATACCTATGTTGTGAGACCTTGGACAATCGTACTATAAACGACATTTTCTCCGTTTTCTAGGGTTAATATTTGTATCAGCTTTATAGGGTTATAGCCAAGGATAAGTAAACAGTACAGCGCAGTACAGCAGAGCATCCAGCATAAACTCTTAATATAAGCATTTTCAATAAATGTCAGCTTGTCTTATTCACTGATGGCGATAGATACTAAACCCTTTTACTGAAAACTTAATATATGTTTCAAGAACTGCCACTGTTACTAACTGTTTCTATTTGTACCCCTGAAAATGCCTCCGTAGGGTCCTCTCTTCTATCATCCATGTCAATTAGCTGAGGCACCAAAAGGGTATGTGTGAGTGTGTGTGTGTGTGTGTGTGTGTGTGTGTGTGTGTGTGTGTGTGTGTTTGGGGGGTGGGGGGAAGAGACTAAACTAAAAGACTGAGCCATGTCTGTAAAGGTTTAAAATTAAATGAATCAATAATATTTTCTCTCAGACCACCAATCACAAACAGTGTCTTAAACTCTTCAGTAACATCCTTATGATTTGGTTTCAATCTAACTTTAATTATTTTTAAATGAGAGACACATGAGTCTATATGGCATCTGCCCCTGCTCTTCTGCTTTCATAACAGAGTTCTCCAACTTTTCCTAAAATTAGTCTCCTCCCAGTGCATTCCTTTTCTGTTATCATCAGTCAAAAGAATCTTAAATGATACATTCAGGTACTGAATAATATGGCTTTCGTTTAAACCCAACATGCACTTAAAATACATTGAAGACATTGCTCAACATCAGTAAGAGAAAAAGAAAGAAAAATTCTAAATTGCACACTTTTCATATGCTTAAGCTTGCAAATGAAAAAAAAAACACTAGTTATCAGTCAATAGAAAAATCCATTGACCAAACTAAAAATGATACAAAACAACCCATTAATGTAAATACAATTGATTAAAGTTTATGCTTCCTTATCAAAAATTCTTTTAAAAATAATGCATTCTTTTCCATAGACTCAAATATTTCCCCTGGGTCAAACATGAATGATACCAGTCCTCATGCCACTGTGTTCATATCAGTCACTTACCTTTTTCTGGAGAACATTGATTTTTCTCTCCTTTACTTCTAACATATCTTTCATATCTCGAATCTCTCCAGCCAGTGTTCCCTTCTCTTCTGTTAGGTCCTGTAGCTGTTTCGTTTTTTTGTTGAGAAAAGATTCTTTTTCTTCCAGTCGTAATCTCAACGCATCTACCTGAAATCAGGAAAAAGAAAGTATGCTGAGATTTTATGGTGCACTGCTGACCACCAGTCACCCCTGGGACAGGAACCGGACAACAGTAAGTTTTTTGAAGCCAGCATGAGGGAACCAATCCTCCTGGGTGTCTCCATGGTATTCATTTTAACAGCCGACATGTACCTTCAAGTATCGTTGGGAACCAAGCTTAACAGTGATATATTTATAAGACAGATTTATATGAACAGGACATTGTGGATAGCACTTTGTTTGCATGTTGTGAAGTCACAAACTGGGGAACAAAGCACACTACTGATCCTGCCTTTGAGAGCCCAGGGAGGTACAAAGCTGCCCACATTCTGCAGTTTTCTTCTAGAATATGGAGGACACATTGAACCATGTCACTAACATTTGGCAAAACAGGGAAAACTAGAAAAACACTCCTTGCCACCTTGAGAAACAGTGGGAAAAATGCACACTGCAAACAGGAAGTCAGTATTATTGTCAGAGGAAGAAAATGTTACAGAAATGGCATTCATTTTCCAGCTTTAAGAAGTTGACTTTCTAAATACTAAGTAATGAATAAGACATAAGACAAGGCATCCCCTCAAATTCCTATTTTTACCTTAACTCAGAAATTTGATTATTTATAATTCTTGCTATTCAAATGTCAGTAATCAAAAGAAACATAAGCTTTTTTCTTTTCGTCTTAGCATTCCAAAGACGGCATGCAAAAATGATTTACATGGGTGATGGAAGAGTTTAATCCTTAGCCTTCATACCAGGAATGTAATAAGTAGTAGTTACAGCAATAATCAGGAAGTAGCAAAGCAGGCATGTTATTTAAAGATATAGAAGTGACCTGGAAATACAGTTAAAAGGGATAGTGGAGGAAAAAAGAAATGGTATAGTGGTAAAAAGGGGACTGTTCCACCTCATCACAAATCCCATACAATATTTTGATTATTGTATTATTGAAAAGTGATATATATAGATTTATAAAAGACAAGGTAAAGGTAAAGGTAAAGGCCCTCCCGTTGTTCATCGATTTGCTTGAGCGGGCCCAGTAACGTCTCCATTGGAGACTTTGTTGTTACTGTGTTTGGCATATTGAATACGTCACGGGGAGCTTGCCAGGCTCTGCCATCGGGGTGAGATACTCTCGGCAGCTTGCCGGGCTCTCCGAGAGGGGCGGAGGAATCGAACTCGGGTTGGCCATGTTGGCTGTGTGCAAGGCAAATCCCTTACCGCTGTGCTATCGCTCAGGGGCAATGCAAGATACCTTATTTAGCCAAAAGCCACTGGGAGCAATGGAATGAGGACACGTGGTTCTGCTCCTGCCTAGCTATGTAAACACAAATAACTCGCCCAGCCCTCCAGCCTCATTGTCTCCATCTGGAAATAAAGGGATTGCTACAGACAGTCTCTCTGCAAGTATTTTATGGCTTTAAAGAAAGGTATCAGTTTTAGGTAGACAACATCAGGGAAGGATAATGATATTATAACTTAAGCTATTTGAATAGAATCTCCTTTTCTTCCTCCTTACCAAGAAAAGTTTGTCAACACTGTGTTGCTAACAATTCAATGTGTTGGCAAGGTAGTTGAGAAGTGGTTTTGTCCAGTTTCTGATCCAGAGATGATAAAGTTGGGAAACCCAAGCAAAGGAAGGGGGGTGGGGGCTATATGTGCCTGTCCCCTTTGCAGAATGACCTGCTGGCATTGTGAAAGATGGTGTCATCCTCTGATGGCAGAAGATGAGAACTGCAGATTCCTCCCACAGCTGATAGGTGTAACTCTTCTTGCATAGTAGACATGGGGGGTGGGGGGGCGGTGGATGGGAGGAAGGAAGGTGAAACAGCTTTTCGTGTGCTGCTCATCATCCTTTCCCTAAATTAAAAGCTATGTTAGTTGCACCGGATTGTATGCATCCTTACATTCTCAAGTCACTTGCTTTGGTCTAGTTATCTTCATCTACCAACATGGAATAAAACATAAACACTTCTTGGATTTTTATAACATGGGGTGAAAATGTAAATGGTAGTGAACACTCAAAGAAGGGCATTTGGCAGGTTCTGTGGTAGTAAGATGGACACACTGAGTACTCCATTACATAGCGAAGTTATGAAGGGTTACATTCAATTGTTAGGATTTATAAAAGACTGATGAATATTCTGTGAATCTGAGAGGAAATGCATGCTTACTGTCCCATTAGCCCTGAATTTCAACTATCAATTTCTGGAAGCCTATATCAGAATTAAAGGAAATAAACAAAACTGATGCAAATAAGTTACAATATAGAAGGTATTGAATGACGCATGAGTTGGCAAAGGAGACTCATATGATAAATATGTTTAAATATTTGAGACACTCTCTTACCATGTGTGACTTATAAGTGCCCTACTGTACCCTTTTGAATTAAGAAGAGATAAAAAGCAAACTGAGCTGTAAGAGTATTTCTCCAGGAATAAAACAGACAACAAAGACGGTCATGATCAACACATTACTTATTATACCCAAACTCTGCATGGGGGGAGAGTCTATGCCAACTAATTTTCCCTTTTGGGAGTTGATTTTTCTTACCCGAAGTATGTATTTAGCTGTAAAGGAATTTGAATCTTTCCCTTCAGAACCCTTCACTCTAATTTTAGAGCTTTTGTGTTCCTAGATTTAAGTTCCTAGATTCAAGAATAGACATAAGGTTCTTTCAGATTCTTTAAGACAAAACTTTGACTTGAACTAGATCCAATTCTCAATGAACATTAGCCCAGTTTGCAGTAAGCATATATGACATCATTTCTAAAGTCAGATTTGAACTTCCAGATGCTGCAAAACCACAAGCAGGCATGAGTCTTCTGATGCACAGAAGTTTAAATACAGAGAAGATCGGGCAAGAAAAAAATAGTCTATTCAAAATCAGAATATTATTTCCAAAGTGGGTATCAATGAGTAGGATGAAAATATCCCTCACTAATATTCAGACTTCACTCAGAAGTGTAATCTGAAAAAGAATCAGAAAGAAAAATCTTTGAAAGCTAAATTATATCCAACATCAGGTAGAGACATAAAAGTTAAAATGTTTGGGACATAAAATACCTTTCCCTGTCTCTTCACTCAACACCAAATAATTTTAAGGGCCCTTGACGCTCTTAAAATTTGGCAGTTGAATCAATAATAAAACTTGGCATAGCAAAAATCACTATCATTTCCCAGAGAGAAAAGTTGAAAAAATCATAACTGTTTAATATGTACTTAATCAATATATAAAGACCCATAGGTTAAAGTTCTAGTTCTTGTATATGACATAACCATAGGAAAACCAGTTGCATAATGCTCAAAGTTGTGCAACATTTCCATTTTAGGAAAATTATTTTATTTTATATTCATTTGTGTATCTGCATCAGTGTCTAACAGCATGTAATAAATGAAAATTTACCTTTTACCTGGCAGAATAAAACATAAACATTTGTTATCATCTCAGTTCCAGGTAATAACTTAAAATAAAGGAATCATGACAATAAAATTGGCAAAAATTGCCAAAATGAAAGTTGAGCATTATTAATCTTCATGTCAGCACCCAGGAATTATAACTAGTTCCAATGGTGATGTATGTTTCTGTAAGTTCTACACATCAGCCTCTGACCTTTCAACCATATTTTACATAGACTTCAGAAACAGTTTCAGTGTTGTGACAAAACACTATGCGCTACTTGATGTACCATAAATAATTTTTAAAAAATCAAATGGTTTGTTTCAATCTTCAAATAACTACTGCAACACTTTTGGGGGCAAAAAAAAAATCCACTTGAGAGGGAAAAGGGAGCCACTTGAAAATGTTCACAGATTAAATACTACTTACTTGACAACACTTCAGGCATTGAATAAACAAGCGATCACAAGGAACAACTCTAAGAGAAAATGAAGCTGGAACCCTCACAAAAGCTCCCATTATAGTTTTATTTCACCTTTCAAAGTCCATGTGTTTGTTTTTTTCCCAGTAGTGGCTGAGTTAAGAGTCTATTTGAATTTGATTCAACTTGCAATCATTCCAATGTGAGGGAGTTGCAGCTCTGGAAATATGCATAACTTATATAGTCTCCAAAGACAGAAAACACACACACACAAAAAAAAAACCCTCTAATTTAAAAGCTGCAATGGTAGTCTCCACTAGTTCTCACTCACATCCAATTCTCCATTTCTTCCTGAACAACGGGACGATACCTCTCCCGTGCTCCCTGCAGAAAGATGGGCCTATGTGTATTTTTCATGGAATGTAAACAGAAAAGAAACACCTCACTCCCTTTATGTGCCATCCCACACATCTTCCTCTTTCTTGAAGATCATGGCAGTCATATTTTTCAGACATTGGAGCTACAGGATTGTAGAACCTCCACAAACCTGCATTCTCCAGTAACCACAAGAAGTAGGATTGTTCTCCACAATCCAAGAATGCTCAACCCACAATTTGGGGTGAACTTACAGTATGATGTTGAGCTACTTCAAAATTATAATTTCCCATGGTTTTACTAAGAAGTGATCACCTTAAAACTGCAAAGTTTCAGGTCCTAGGACTGAAAAATCTACTTCCTTCAATTCAACCCAAATTCAAAAAAATAGAAACTCACAGTAAAAGAAAAAGCTAAAGTAAAGAAGGCGCATAGCCCTTAGAACATAGCATAGGACTGGAGAGGTAAAACCCTTGCTTTGTACTCAACTAATGTAGGTTTGATCCTCAGCACCCCATACAGTCCCGAGTCTGCCAGAAGTTATCTCTGAATGTAGAAAGTCAGGAGTAATCCCTGAGCACCACTGGGTGTGACCAAAGACCAAAAACATCAAAACAAAAAAGGTATACAGACTTTGAGAGAAAAGACAAAGACATAGAAGGAAAAGAATGCCATTAGGTTTATTGGCCTAAATTTCAGTTTGGATAAAGGTCTCAAGTAGAGAACTCTGTCTTGCAGATGTCTGTGCATACCAAATATTTGTTTAAACTCCTGGCAGTGGTCATGGACTTAGCCATAGGCCTTTCAAAAATTCAGAACATAACTAAGCTGTCTTAAGCAAAATGAGAATAACAACTACCTCCTTCATCAGTTATTTTGAGGATTAAATTAAATAGCATATGGTACGTACTTAGCACAGTGCCTGGCACCTAGAAACACTCTATAAATTTTTGCTATTGTTATTATATCTTATTATGATGCTTTCTACAACCTCTAATGCAATGATTTATATACTGTAGGAATGCAATAAAGGTTGCTAATCAACAGGCCTCAGGAATAGTGGAGAACCAAAAAATAAGGTTTTGTGCTCTAACATGTACCAGAGTGTAATATTGTCTGTGATTTACTTTAAAACATTTCAGCATAACTCTATGATATGCATATCTGTGTAAAGGGGGTGTTTGGGGGAGAACGAAGGGGGTTGGGTGTTGGTGTATTTCCTGAGAATACATTCTTTAGGAATAGTTAATTAGCCTATGAAAGACTTTAATTAAAAGTCTATGAACTAGAGTCAGCTACTAAAATGTCTCAATATTCCTTATACTTGATAAATACCAGAAAATTGGTCAATTAACATAATTGATGTGAAGAGTGATTTTTCTTGTTGAAGTGAGAGGTGCTGGAGATGTGTGAGTTGGCTAGAAATATTTCACAGGCAGTACCACTCATCTATGAATAAGATTTTAAGATCGCATCCAGCAGAAATGTGATACAGCTACATCTATAATTTTAGATGATATAGTAGCAATAATAGCAGCACTTTTTTAAAGATGGAAGAAATTTTAAATTATTTTTAATTGAATATTGTGAGATGACAGTTACAAAGTTGTTCATGATCAAGTTTTAGTCATACAGTGTTCCAGCACTCATCCCATCAGGTGAAAGAAATTTTAATTATACATTTAATTTCACCCACTACAAAATTTATTTAATATATCATTAATATCAAAATATTTCTTAGATACTTTAGTCCTTTTTTGTATGTCTTCGAATTCCACATGTCTTTGACATTTTCAAATCTAAATTAGAATTATTTCTATTTCGTATTCCACCTGATGCTGTTGACTACTATGTAAAGGTTTAGGATTCAAGTAACCCAAAAGTTACAACCTGTGGAATATTCTAGATTTAGAATTTGAATATTTCCTGCATATAGATGCTTCAGAAAGAATTTTTTTCTCCAACAGAAGAAAACACCAAGGTGGCTGACATCTTCCCCAGAAAACAATATCCCATTAACCTTATGGCATCAAAATCACAGAGATCTATACCTTCAGGGAGCACTCAGAAAAGATGATGGACAACCTGGAAACAAAGTCATGGGTTTGAGTCCTATAGATTTTGCTTCCATAATTGTCAAACACTACTGATCTCTACCAGAAAGAACTGCCTTGTGTGTCAGGGAAACTGGCATGGTTTAATGATTTCATTTGCACAAACTTTTTTGAAATCTTGTTGAAAGAAGAAATCAAACTAATCATCACTTTAAGAGATATATTTAACACACATGTCTAACCAGAGCAAAATTTACCTTTCAGGGGAGAACAGTCTGTAACATGTTAAAGCTGGAGTGCAGTTTGTGTTAAACCACATCCAAGTATGAGCCACTGGTGGTACACAATAGTATCAAGGTATTATGCAAATACACCATAAAAAAAAGCCTGCCTATATGGATGATCTAGATGCTGGCCATCTCTTACCAAATTTAGGATAGCCCTCTACTTTTTAACTTGTGCATGTATGTCATATTGATCTTCCCTCCAAGTTTTCTTTTTATTTCTAGTGCTTTTTATTTAGTCAGTGAGTGTGAAGAATCACTTTTTTTTTAAATCAGGGGAGAGTGCGGATGCAGTCCCCCACTACCACAAATTATGCAGTAGAGTTTCCCATGCTTGGGGAAGTCGCAAGGGTCAGCACATCCCAAGTGCAATGGATAAGCCTCACACTGGGAAAATCACCTACGTGATCATGGTGTCTCCACTGCGAGGTAACTATCAAGAATCACTTTTTTGCCAGTCATTCTACAGCATTTTATCAAGACATTCAGAACTGTGACTCACTGAGTCATGTTTAGGAAGGTAGGAATGGACAAGAGCATACAAGATAAAAATCTAAGAACATTATATAATATTCTTATCAAATAAAACTGAAATTAAAAAGCTTATTTGTGGTGAAATTCTATATTTGTGTGTACAAAATAAGAATATTCATAACTTAGCAAACTATAGATGTATTGGCCATTACAATTCAAAGTTCTTTGGCATTTGGTAAAATTCTTTACTTTATGTTCAACATTTTATGTTCAATATTAATGTGCAATCTTAGACACAAAATAATAATTACTGATTTTTAAATGTCATGCTATCTACTTACCCTATGGTTTTCAAGATTAGTTTGGATCTTTAAATTTTTTATCTTTAACTAAAAGTCTTAATAACACTAGTAAATATAGAAGCATAGTATATTTCTCTTTTGGAAAAATTAATTTTCCAGATTTTTTTCATTAAGAAGACATTAGAGGGATTGGAGTAATAGCTCAGTGGGTAGACTGCTTGCATAGCATGGACAACCCAAGTTTAACCCCTGAACCCCATATGATGCCCTGAGCCCTGCCAGAAGTGATCCTGAGAGCAGAGCCGGGGGGAAGTTCTAAGCATCACTGGGTGTTGCCTCCCCAAATAAAAAGACATTAGAATCACTGGGAAAATAGTACAGGGGGTAAGGCACCTGCCTTGATTGTGATCACCTTGGTTCTATTTCTGACACAATACATGGCTATATGAATACTACCAGGAGTGATTCTTGAGTACAAAAAAAAACAAGAGTAAACAAAACCCAAAAATAATAAAAAGATTTACGGATTTCCAGAGAGGTAGTACAGAGATTGAGGTGTTTGCCTTGCCCACAGACTACCCCACGTTGATTCCCAGCACCATAAATGGTCCCCCAAATACCATGAATGATCTCTGAGAGCAGAGCCAGGAGTATGCCCTTAACACAGCCTGATGTGGCACCAAATAAATAAAATTTAAAAAGGAAGAAAATGAAAAAGACATTATAAAAAGTAACCACATTATTAGCAATAAATACCCACCCCTCAAATACCTAGATTATAGAAGCATTTCTGACTAAAAAACAATAAACTTCACTGAAGAAGTGACTTAGTATAGGTCCTGGCAAGAAACATACAAGGAGAGTATATAATATCTTACTGAACAATACAGCAAAGAAATTATTAAAGTCCAACAAAGTCTTTTTGTTTCATCAAGTAATGGGCAACTTGATGGCAGTCTGTGAACAGATATAAGGAGGCAGGAATGAAGGCAGGAGAATAACCTACAATAGATTAGAGGACAAAAGTAGCTTCCACAATAAGGAAGAGGAGGAGGTGAACAGGATAGAAATGGCTGTTTCAGATACATTTTGAGATATAATCAGGAGGCAGTGGCAGAATTGGGGATTTTATACAAAGGGCAGCAGGAAGAAAGGTATCAACAACAGATAACTCTTGACTTAATGGTTGGAACAACTTCATAGATATTGACATTTTTGCCTATGCTGAAAAAGACCAGGGAGAATGAGACTTGAGGGGATCAAAAGTAAGAAGTCAGGATTAGTATATATATAATTTGAAATGCTGGGAATCACGCAAAACCTGGACTAAGATCTGGCTATGTATGGGGAAGCAGCCTTGTATTTACGTCAGTATTCCAGAAGGTGCTTAGAGCATCTGCACATTTACACTCCCATTTAGATGCAGCTGTCCAAGATCAGCTTTAAAAAAAACTTTTAAGAAAAGATCTAAGGTTGACAATCTAAAGAAATCCTTTTCTCATTTATTTGGTTATTTCAGTTAAGCCCTTCTGCTCTTAATGGCAGATAGTAGTGTCAAAACTGCATTTATTCCTCCAGTTGACTGACTACATTCAGTAGAGTGACACTGACTGCCTACAAAATTTCTATGTAATAGAAAAGTGACTATATAATTCCACTTCTGGAAGTCTGCTTTCACCTAACAAACAAAAACTCATACATTAGATTAGGGCAAGGGTAGGGGTTTCTATATTACATTTTAAGCCATTTAGACAGTAAAAAGAGAAACAATAATGGCCATATTATAGAGGTCTTATACTTTACCATATTATCTTTCTTTTAAATTATAAGGCTGTTCTCATACAACTTCAACTCCAAAAAATAAAACTGAAGGATATGTTGCATTGTATAACCACATGCTGTGCTTATAAAGGTTAACTTACAAAACCAGCTTGTTAATAACACAGTTGAGATTTTCAGGTTGTAAAGATGCATTTTGTCCTACCTACCTGTCAAAAAATTATACCCAAACTCTATATGCCACCTACTTGAAGAAAACAATGCTAGATTAAGAGTGCTTCATATCACCTACATGGAAGAATTCATATCATATGTGGTTAATAATACAGCCAACTTTATAAAGCCTGTTTTCATACTTAAGTTTTTGGCTACTTCTTACATAAAAATTAGGTGGTTTTAAGTGACTAGTCCAAAGTTCAAAATTTAACGTTCGATTCAGTTCCAGCAAATTTCTGAAAACACATGGGAATTGTAACTCATGTGTTAATACTTAAAGTTTTTGTTAATAAAACTTCCAACACTAACCTTACCTCATTGAACTTACCTCACTGGTTTTTATGCTCACTATAAAACTATAGCTGTCATAATATTTTTGAATTACTACAAAAGGAAGTAAGCCATTCCAAAGTCAATGTTATTTTGCAACATGATGATAGTTATAAATTCAAAATACTTAAAACCAATTTGCAAAACTATCAATCTTAGTACCTCCTAACATTTGAAAAGCCCATCTTCAAAACATTTGCTTTTATCAAAACAAGTTTAAGAAAACATCATGTATCATTATTATTGCACTTTCTTCTTAAGTTAGTACATTAAATTTAAACATAAAAACACATTTTAACATAATTTTTCAAAATATTGGTCTTACTTAGATATACTATGGAAGTCTGAAGCTCTCACTGAACCCTATAGAATTTAAATCAGTAATAATTTAGTACCAAGGCTGAAAAATAATTTTATGATCCCATGACTTTTCAATAAATCCCTATGAGCAGCCTCTATCTACCCTTAATAAATGTCTTTAACATAACTGTCTAGCAAATTAATAACTATAGTAATTTCATTTGAAAAAGAATTAAACCTTTATTATTATCATTACTATGTAAGTTTTGGTTTGTCCCTAGTTGTGCCCAGCCTTTACTCCAGCCCTGCACACAAGGATCACTCTTGATGATGCTAGGGGAACCAAATGCATTGTCAGGGATCAAACAGGGGCCTGCCAAGTACAAGGCACCAGACTTAAGCACTGTACTATATATAAACCTACAGCACTGTAGCATTGTCCTCCCTTTGTTCATCGATTTGTTTGAGCGGGCACCAGTAACGTCTCCATGATGAGATGATGATACTGTTTTGGGCATATCTAATTCACCATGCGGAGCTTGCCAGGCTCTGCCATTTGGGCGGGATACTCTTGGTAGCTTGCTGGGCTCCCTGAGAGGAGCAGAGGAATCGAACCCGGGTCGGCCACAAGCAATTCAAATGCCCTACCCTCTGTGCTATCACTCAAGCCCTTATAAACCTGTATTTTATTTAGTTTTCAAAATGGTGGGGTGACATTCAGTGATGTTCAAGTGTTATTTCTGGCTCTGCACTCGGGAGTTACTTCTGGCAGAGCTCTGGGGACCATATGAAATGCTGAGGATCAAACCCAAGTCCTTACTGCTATAGTGTCTCTCAGGTCTCCTATAAACCTGTATTTTAAAGTAATGTCTCTCCAAGAAGGGTTCAGTCACATGGAGAATAAAGACTTATATACAAGGATCCATGATTCAGTAAAAAGACTGTTTTATGCTGTATGTTTTATGTTAATCTAAAAGCTAGAGAGAACTTATTCTTAATCATGTGACTAATTCTCCCCAATCAAGGAGATTTCAATGTTTGTCTTTATGTCTGCACTAAAATTTAGGGTAAAATCCAAACACCCGAGAAGAACTTCTTATTTCTTTGATATCTTGTCTATAAATTTGGCTATTGTGTACCTTAGGGAGTATGCAAACAAGGGATCCATCAATATGACAATAATAGTAATCAGTGAGAAAAAAGTGCTATCACACAGCATGACATTTAGCCAGCATACCTCCTAAGCTAACTTCTGAGTCATAACAGCGAGCACCACATTTATATCAGGTATAATTTTATGTCCAGCAAACACAATCCTATTATTAAGGTTGTAGTAAGTTAATATCATTCAACTTTATATAGGCTCTAACATAGCATTTTCATTTAGCATTTAATTTTTATGTGGTTTCCTAATACAATAAATGTGATAAGTATGCCTGGTTTTATCTTTGTACCAAATAACATAAATAATAATTATTACACAAAGTAATACTAGGTATCGACAAATTTCTTCTCATTTAAAAAAATGTCTTTCAAGGGAGAGTCATACCATTCTAAAGTAAACATCATTTGTTCCTTGAAATACTCATTGTGCAAAAATTAAATGGTGGAGTGGAGGTTTGTTCCTTAACAAAGCCTACTATGGAAGCCTACTTTGGATTGCTCTTGTGATTTATGGCTGACATTAGCATCCCAAAGTCACTTAAATCCCACAGTAAAGATCTTTTCTCAACATCATTCATCTCACTTTCCCCACAGAATCTATTTTTTCTAAGAATGCAGTGATATTTTATTTATATTTCTGATATTTTAAAACATTTCTGTTATATTAAGGAAAGATCATTCAAAGTAAAGCATGCTTCAGTCATCAGTTTAAGGGCTCTGTATGGATAGGACGTGTCTGACTGCAGTGAAATGGACATGCATCTAAATTAGATTCAGAGGACCTTGAATCAGAGTCATGAAGGCATTCTTTTTCCATGGCTGGTAGAGTATATAGCCAATGGTATTCAGTCTCTGGTCCTGGGAACAATGCT